GAGTGGAGGGTGTGTAGTAAGAGGTGGGGAATGCCCGAATTGTGGCCAGGACAGGGTTAATTTCTGCTGTGAGAGCAGGGCCAGGACCTGGGGTCCTCCTGAACCGTTTGGTACCAACGCTGCTGCTCCTGTTTCTGATCTCGTTGCTGCTTCCAGTAAATTCTTCTTCCCTCCACCACCACCGCTGCCTTCTGTGCCCCAGCTGGGTCAGGGGGCACCGAATTTGGGACATCCCAGAGTTACTGACCAATGAAAGGGAAATGAAAGGATCACAGCCCCCCGTGTCCTCCACCCTCACCTTTTCCAGGTGAAATCCAAGTGAGGATTCCCCCTCCTCCAGGCTGTCCCAGCAGGGGCACGGGGGGGTTGGGGTGATTTGTGGATGAATTTAAGGTGATTTGGGGTGATTTGTGGGTTATATTGAGGTAATTTTGGGTGGTGATGGGGTAATTTGGGGGAAGATTCAGAGATATTTCAAGTGATTTTGGGCCCATCTTGGGGTGATTTGGCAGATTCTTGGAGGTGATTTTGGGGTAGTTTGGGGTGATTTTGGGGATTACTTGGGGGTGGTTTTGAGTGATTTTTGTGTGGTCTTGGGGATGATTTTGGGGAGATGTTTGGGGTGATTCTGGAGATGTTACTCAGTCCTGGGGAAATTCTGGTGCTGACCCCCTGCACTGGCCAGATTGTCACGATTGTCACCTGAGCCAGGACCTGCCTCACCTGGATCCCACCCTGGCTTTATTTAAATCAAATCCTCGCTTTAGATTGTCTTTTTTCCTGTTTTTTTGCCTGAAACACCTCATAGGCTGAGTCTGGTATTACCTGGAGCATCCAAGTCTTGAGGGATCTGGGATTGACCTCCCACACCTGGGCAGATCCCTCACCTGGACACCTGCCCAGAGCCGCTTCAATCACTTCACATATTCAGCAGAAATAGCGAAATCTTTGCTTTTCTCCCCAAAACACGCAGCAATGTCCCCTCACCCTCCCTCCCCCCGAGTTACTCCTTTATCCTCCAATTTTCCATAATTAAATCTGGATATGAAATTCTTGATGACCTTAAAAGATCACTTCACACCTGCACACACCTGTCCCAGGTGAGTGAACACCTGGTGCCTCAGAGCTCCAGCAATGGAGCATCCTGTCCATGCCAGGAGTCACCTGTGGCAGGGGCTGCCAGGTAACCACACCTGGGGGCTCTCCAGAGGGTCTCCAGGTGTTCCCTGCGAGGAGGGCGGCCAGGTAACAACACCTGGGGCTTCCCAGATCTCTGCTTGTGTCCTTGTGCTGGGAGCGGAGGGTGTCCAGGTATGCTGAGAGCTGCAGGTACTCCTCACCTGGCCCTCACCTGGCCCCCTATTTCAGGATGATGTGGTAGCTGTCGTTGCTTTCGGCTGCAAAGGAAGCCAAGGTCACTCCACAAGAGGTGAGGGGAGGTGAGGTGGGGTCACCTGACACAGGTGTGGCCCAAACACAGAGCCCCAGGTACTCACACACCTTTCATGGTGTCCAGAACGAAGCAGGATTCATCCTGGAAGTTCTGGATCATCTGAAAAAAACCCCCAAACAACAGCAATTCAGGGGTTTTTGGGAAGGGTTTGGGTTCCAAAGGGCTGGAGATGCCCAGGTGATCCCTGCTGATCCCATTTCCCCAGGTGAGCCTCCCAGGGGGGCAGGTGGGCGTTACCTCGTCGCTGACCAGGACGTGGATCCCGGTGGGTCCCTGTTTGTAGATCTGCTGGAT